GAGTCTGGACATCGGTACAAGAGAAATTAATGTTTTTAACACTTCCTTTCTGTCAAGCACCTTGCATATATTATGTAATCCAATCTTACATCAGTGTTCTAAACATAAAGCAAAAGGACAAAAAAAAAATCTTGCCCAAAACCCGTTCCCTTCCCATTTACTTTCTGTGGGCTTACAGGAATAAGTGAAGTGCCGGAAGGAGGAGAGACTGTGTTAACAGAATTGCCACACCTATAACTTCTAAGCAACATCCCAGAACTGACACACAGAATAGTCACATTCCATTCAGTTAACAATCTTCACAATGCATTTATTTTACTTTTGCCTCCTCTAATATTCACAAAAGTCACATACCCAGCCTTCTTAATCTTAGGAATCTGATATACAGTCCATTGAGGACATAGCTTAGAACTGTACTTTCTGCATATCACCACCAGACAAGATTTACCAAAATGGAGTTTTACTTCCTATCATTTACGTTGTAAAAACTATAGACTTGAAATATAAAATCTTAATTACGTACACCACTCCTCCGTGCACCAACATGCTGAGGGCCCTGCTTCAGGTGAGCTTTCTTGATGGACAATATTCTGTATACCTAGATGTGCCAAGAGGCTGAGCTGTCCCTGAGGAATGGAAATTTCACAGTTATGTTCATCTGCTTTCCCATAGTAACTGATATGGTTTGGCTATGTCCCCACCCAAATCTCATCTTGAATTGTAGTTCCAATAATTCCCACATGTTATGGGAAGGACTGGGTGGTAGGTAATTCAATCATGGGGGCAGTTTCCCCAATACTGTTCTCATGGCAGTGAATCAGTCTCACAAGATCTGATGGTTTTATAAGGGGTTTCCCTCTTCATTTGGTTCTCATCCCCTCTTTGCCTGCCTCTTTTTTCTTCATAAATTACCCAGACTCAGATATGTCTTTATTGGCAGCATGAAACCAGACTAATACAGCATGAAACCAGACTAATACATTTTACTGTTTATGTGTGCCGTAATATGTCGTATACCTTAAACATATACAATAAAAGACATTTAAAAAAAAATTCACATATTAGAACGTCCTAGACCTCACTCTATGCAACTCAACCTTTTTGCTGATTCCAATTTGTATTGTTTTGCTATAATAAAATATAAATGCAAGTATGACACTTTCAATGAGTTCTGTGAGTCGCGTTAGTGAATTACTGAACCTGAGGGTCTAGTGAGAAACCCCAAGTTTGTAGTCAGCTGGTAAAAAGTGAAGATGTTCTGGGAACTCCCAAATTTGTGGCTGGTGTCTGAGGTGAGGTCAGTGCCCTGAGTCTGTAAAATTTAGCCTCACTCCAGGTAGTTAATTTTAGGAGTTGTTTTCTGATCTCACAAAAGTAGTATTGGCTACAGTGACTCTGACTCATTGAAACATGTGCTTTGGGAAGAGAAAGAATAAAAGGGTGAGAGATTAATAAACATTGATTCCTGAATGGCTACCTAGTCCCTAGAGACCTGTGATATAAAATTGCAGCTGTGCAGTGATCAGTTACGATAGAAGTTGAGGATCTCTGTTTTCTAAATACTAACTCTTAACTGATAAGAGTTAAG